AAGATGCTCATTAATGGAAGGAAAGAATTTGTAGTAGTACCATAGTTACAAAAATATACACAAATTAAACATAATTAGAGTACCACAACCATATGGGACGAATAACAAAAAGGACATTGTAAGATTTGGTAGGGACTGACAAAGTGACACTAACAAAGGGACAAATTAGGGGGCATTGGATGAGGAAGGGAAGGACGAGGGAGCAAGAACCTTGAGGAGACTGCCCACACAAGCATTAGCAGCTCTCTGATCGTTGATCAGATGCTCTTTCAGGTTCTCCACATGTTTCTTCAACTCTATATTCTCAGACTTCAAGCTGGCAACTTCTGCACCCTAAGCACTACTGGAACCAGGTTCCGTGCTGGCTTGATTGAGCTTACCCTCAAGAATAGCATTCTGGGCCTTCAACTGCTTGATTTCCTCAGTAGCAACACTCTGAACATCGATAAGTTGAGAGATTATAGAACTGCTACCTATACCGCACTTTTTGTCAACACTCTCATATTCCTCTAAGGTGTTCATTGAGAACATTTGTTTACAAGTTCCCACAGATGCTCTCCCCAAGGGGACCTCAAATCGTTCAAAGACTTCTGTAAATAGGAACCCATATAGCAACTCATGATTTCCATCCTTGAAGTCTGCCACTTTCTTCACGTATTTAATTAAAATCCCAGGCAGATTGATGGGAGTGTAGCCGTCCAGTGCCTCCAAAAGAACTAGGTCCGCTATAGAGGCAATGGATCGCCTTTCAGCTCTTGGTAGCAGGACCTTGTTCACCAACTCGAACAAAAGTTGGTATTCTGGAAGCAGTGCCTTTTGGTGCACTCGTTCCCCTTGTCGAACAACTTAAGGCTTGAGGATAATCTTCCTAAAACCTGGGGAACAGGTTCCTCCAAAAGTGGAGAGCCCTTCAGTAGTCACCCTAAGAATGTATCCTAGCACATCCTCATCAATCACAAAATCTACCCCATTGATCTTCAAATATATGGTGTCACCTTTCCCTATGAACAAATTAGCATAGAAACTGCGAACTTCCTCCTCATAAAACTTTGAACTCTGAACAGTAAAGAGATGAGTTCACTTTTGGAAGTCACAGATGTCAACCAACTACCTCATTCCAGACTGATCAAGAATGTCGATGTCAAAAATTCTACCCCACAGAACTTTCTGATTTTTCAGTTTAGCTTTTCTTTCAAGCTTAGGCACATCAACTCTAGCCTTCTTTGAGGAACCAGGTTCCTCATTGCCGCTTGGCTTCCTTTTGAGAGACTTCTTTTTTCCAACGTTTTTTCTCCTTCTCAACAGACTTCTCCTTCTAATCTCTTTCTTCTCCACCAGTTTCAGTAGCCTTTGCAGATGATACCTTCTTCTGTTTCACAGACACAACCTTCTTAGATGTTTTACGGACAAGAGGAGCATGTTCCTCATTCAGCTCCTCATCCTTAACTTCCATAATAGTTGTCGGAGGCACATCCTCCTCATCAACTAGTCTACTTTTTTACAAGTCTTCTCCTCTTCCTTTTCTTCTCATTCTCCTTTAATGCACTGCTAAAGAGCAACCATTTTCTGCTGCCTAGTGGTGGGTTTTTTAGGAACAGACTCTTGTGTAGCTGTCCCACGACTCCTCGCTGTCATCTCCTTATCCTTCTGAGATGAACTTCATTGCAGGGTACATAATCTCTAAAGGGGGTGCATCAAGGTGAGCGGACAAGGTAGGGTCAGTACTGTCCAGGGGCTGGTTAGTAGAGCATGAAGTTTCATCTTAAGTAGGAGATGAGAACTCTTCTTGGGCAGAGGGACCAGGCCGTTCTGTAAGCTCCCCCGTAGTACTGACTAGTGCCTTGTCACCTTGAGGCACCTGGTTCTCATTCCCATGTTCTTTCCCTTAATCCCAATACTCACACAACCAGATAAGGAATCCCCATGTTATACCCCATATTTTCGTACGTAAAAGTGTGTTGTAAGTAAACTAATATAAGACCAAAAATGAGATCATCTTTGGAAGTATATAAAGTAAGTTATCATGTTACCTCGGATGTTAAATATATTGAAGATTATGAAAAACAAGTACAAATAGGGTTGGAAGGTTTAGAAGCTAAGGAATTGAAGAAAATAATGTTTCGTCGAAAGTCGACAAGTTGAGAATGTTATAACATGTACTTTTGGGTGAGACTACTAGGGTGATTAATATGATAAGGAGGTTATTTTATGAGTTATGTTAGTTGCATGTTATGTTTTGAAGTCAAGCAAGTTGTGAAACAAAAGCCGATGCAAGTCATCACAAGTTACGTTCAAAAGTTTTACTGAAATTTGGGTAAAATGTAACTGCGGTTTTCTCCCAATATACTTAGATTTACGGGGTGTTACACCAATCAAATTGAATATCTATGAGTCTATTTTCTAGCACATTAAACCGTTTATCAATACTACATCGTATTAGATAGATATATACGTTTTTGCGAGACTGCGCAGACCGCTAGGTGACAAGTAGGTGTGTCACCTACTTGCTTAAATGAGAGTCTAAAAATGGGCCAGTTCGGGTCGTCCAAAGAGACCTTTTAAATTCATATTTTGTTCATATAATACACTGATAAGAGGGCACAATAACCAGACCTAAACCCCTGCAAACACCCTGTTAGTTTATATGAGTCTACCAAACTATAGAGTACCTGGTCCTCTTTGAGTTTCCATTGAGAATACTAATGAAATAGTAAGTAAATGAGACACATGATTTTTACGTGGAAAAATCCTACTCAAGGGGACAAAAACCACGACCTACACTTGTAGGCTTTCAACTTCACTAACTTGTAAACACTCTATTACAAGCCACTTTGTAATGACTCTATTACAAAGGCTTCAACTCAACTAACTTGTGATACACTTACCACAAGCCACTTTGTCACTCACTAGTTACAAAGACTTTAACTTATTACTACCTCTAGTTACAAGACAAACTCAGAAAGTTTATGGTTTTACAAAAGGGTTCCTAAGCAACGCTTCTAGTTAAGCAATTTAGGAATTACAATAAGAACAATCACAAAGTTACAACTCAACTAAGGACAACAAAATACTAGATTTAGGAACTGGTCCGTTGTAGCATTTAACTTTGTTCTTCAAGCTCTTGAGAATTAAGTCACTGTTTGTAGAAGACTTGAATGCTTGAAGTGAATTCTCAAGTGTTCAAGTGATGTTTTGTTATAATGCTCTTGTTAATACACCCTTGATGACATCACTTGAATGATGCAAGCACTTGGTAGGTCAAAGGCAAGTGACTGCAAAACTGCTGCACTGTGTGCACTATTTCTGTGGCAATCACTTTCCAAGTATGCACAATTGACTTTCGTACTATTGTCAGGGAAACACAAGGGATCAGGTCCTTGTCTTATTTCTCTATTTTCTACACTTACAACAGTTCACCTTAGCTGGAGTCCAGGCTAGAATCCGTTCATTTGTAATGTGTACCAAATGTGTCAGGTTCCCTATCTGGTTCTTGACAATAAGTTTGTTAGATCATCAAAACATAACGCAAAGACATTGAAAACCCATTAATTTCTCCCTTTTTGATGATGACAAACTTAGACATTGATAACATGTATTTAGAGCAAAGATAATCAGATGAAGTAACAGGAACTTCACAAGTTCCCCCTGACTTTATGCTTCTCCCTTAATCAGATCCCTGTTTCAATTATACTTCCCCCTTTTGGCATCATTAAAAATACACAAGCAGGCAAACATCATAAAGAAGTCTAGCCTAGCTAACCCATGCCAAATATGTGCACATAACATGATAGAGAAGAGAAACAGAGATTACAAGCAATGAGATAATAAAAGAGGACAGATTTTATATATAAAACATATGACTTTGATTAAAATCAAAGGTAGAATTGGACTATTGAAAATGGAAGCAGTACTGATACATCCCAACCATATCAAAACAAAAGAAACAAAAAAACATCTGCCAAGTCATAAAAACTAAAAGAGACAATCCAGAAACTGGTCACTGAAGGGGTTACTTAGGGGGCACTAGGAGTAGAGGGCTTGGAAACTGCAGCAAGAGTTTGGAGAACTAGGTCTATTTAGGTATTGGCCGACTTTTGTTCATTGGGCAGTTCTGCTTTCAGGTTCTCCACTTATGCCCTGAGATCATCATTTTCTTTTGTCAACGAAGCCACTTCCTCATTTGACTCCAGAGCCCCTTAGGCCTGCTGACCTTCCAGGATAGCATTCCTAGCTTTCAACCTTCGAATCTCCTCAGTTGCACTATTTTGAGCATTACTGATCTGTGAGATTGTTGATGTACTGCCTAACCCCCCCATTCTTCTCGATGAACTCACATTCTTCCAACGTTGTTTGTGAGAAGGTCTGCTTCTCGCTTCCTACCTTGCCTTGCCCCAGCGGCACCTTGAAAAACTTAAACACTTACGTAAGCAGAAGCCCATATGGAAGACCATGATTACCATCCTTGAAGGTTGCTACTTTTTGCATGTGTTCGATCATGATAGCAGGCAGGTTGACAGGGTTAAAGCCATCCAGTTGCTGTAGACATGTGATTTTTGACTCTCCCCAAGTTTTTACACATTTTAGCGTAAAATATTTAGTTTAGGGCTAATATCGTTATTTCAACTAGTTTTGACTATTTTATTTTATTTTATAAGAAAAATAAAAATTACAAAAATATTTTATATAGTTACTTTTAGTTTATGTACCTTTCATAAAATTTAAAAAAATATACAAAAAATAGTACCTTATTTTTATCTTTATATAATCTTGAAAATAAAAAAATAGTTTCGCGTTTTAATATAGTTTAATTTAATTAATTAGAATTAGTTTTTGCATTGTGTAGTATTTTAATCTTTATTAAAGGGAGTAAACTAAGGTTTTGGACTACAATTTTAAAAGTCTTAGAGCCCAATTTTAGGACCCAATTCAAACTTAGCCCATAAATCCAAGCCCAATACCCAATACCCATTAAACCCAATACCCTAAAAAAAACTCTCTTCCTCACCTTTAATAGACACAAGACCCAACCCTAGAGGACAACACAAAAATCAATCGTGAATACACAATAGAAGCACCAGCCGTTTTTCATCATCTTCTCCACACCCTTAGCTTCTTCATCTTTTTCAACCTAGAGACCAACAGCTTCACCACCATAGCACACCAGTTCCTTGACGACGGGAATCACCATGAAAATGCTGTCACGTAAACCATGAAGCCGCAACTCCCAAAAACAACGAGTCCTCACGTCTTCATCTTCTTCGGCTAAAAGAACGGTTGCTTCGTTTTTCTTTTTCAATTTAAAAGCAAGAACACGTGCCTTCTATTCTTTGTTTTCTTCTACTGAAGGCTGGGTTTGAATCCAGGAAAAAAGGAGTATATCCGACGCTGTCTAAGCCCCATTTCGTTGCTCCAAAATTGTGCGACTTCTCTGACAAGTTTGATTGAGGTCGCTTTGGCTTCGAGCTTTCTGATGCCGATTTGAATTCCCGTCTGCGGTTCGTCGCATTTCTGAGTTCAAAGATACCTCACAAGTAATATTCTAATTCATTTTGAGTTTGTTCCTCATTTTCTTATACTCTATTTTGCTTAATAGTGTGCTTCCATTAATCTGTTGTTCTCTGTTTTGTGAAGTGTTTGGATTAAAGTTTTATTGTTTTGATTTGAGGATGGTTGATTTCTCATTTCATTCTACTTCTTATTTGATGTACCTCTGCTTTTATATATATGCAGACAAACATGATGTGTGTGTAAATTCTGTGTATGGTTCACTGAAATTCACTTTTATTAGCAACTTTTGGTTTAGTGGACGTTAAGCAAACGTAGGATTGAATACTAGAAATATCTTTAGAAACAGGCGAAACTTAAAACCTATTTTATTTTACTCACGCAAACATTTGGATATGGTTGCAAATAAAGGCATTGGCTAGGATGAATTTTAGTTGCCTGCTATGATTATTTATTAAGCGGTTAATTTGAATGTTCTACACAAAATGTCTATTGTCGTTAAATTCACACTTAATCAAGTGTTCATTTTGGAAGAAACTGATATTGGAAAGTATTTGGCCATGGGATTGGATTGAAAGTTAAAAGTGAATTGGAATATTTTTATTGCTCTTTTAATTAATTGAACCGCTAGGAGTATGCTAGGTCCGTTAATATCATATAGTTACCCTCTTTTATTAGTTCGAAAAATAATTTTATAATATTCATAAACACGTTAGTAGCTTCAGACACACTTTTAGTCAATAAAACTATCGTGATTGCGTACACGTTCCCGTGCCATAATTACGATTTTCAAAATAAACCGAGGTATGCATTCGTACAACTTCGGCCAAACATTCTTAATAATAATAAAGCGTGATTAATTGTGGACATGTATGCATGACATGATTTTTTTTACGAGCCAAATGAAATGAGTACACGTACGCGTGATTCGTTTTAAAATTACTCCATAATAATGAATAGCTAAGCAAAAAAATGGTTAAAGGGTTAAAATGCACATGGGTTTAAAATAAGTAATTAGACAATTTAATTGAGCCAGGTATGATTAAAGTGACCGTGCTAAAACCACGAAACCCGAGAATGCCTAACACTTTCTCCCAGGTTAACATAACTTCTTACCTAGTCTTCTGTGTTCGCAGACCATAAATAAGAGTCAAATTTCCTCGACTTGTGATTTAAAATAAATCGGTGACTTGGGACACCATAAATTATCCCAAGTGGCGACTTTGAATTTAATATAATAGTCCCGTTTCAATTGTCACTTTAATCGAAAAAACTCCCTTATGCCTCTTTCGGGGTAGAAAAAGGAGGTGTGGCAGCTCTGGCGACTCTACTGGGGAACGAACCCAAAATCTCTGGTTTAGGGTTCAAGAATTCGAGCTTGTGTTGTGATTTTTACTTGGCTTTATCTATTATTCATATTACCGTATTTGTGGACCTAATGTGCTAACGGCTATTTATTTACCGCTTTGATATTATTTGAATTATATTAAACTGTATTCTTATGCCTCCCATCTAAGTCTTCTAAAAGATGGCGCACACGTTCGCGTGACCCACTTTTCTGTTGGAAGTTATACCAAATAGAGCGAGGCTGGGCCAGCAACAAGGCCGGGTAGACTTTCGTGCTCCCGGTACGTTACCCCCATCTCGGCTTGAGCTGTCCACTTGGGTAAACCAGGTCTAGAACACAACCCCTGGTTTAAACCTAGAATAACATAAGCTCATGTTGGATCCCTAGTAGGAACGTTTATTTGCATCTTGTGCATTTGTCTTAGGGGACTCAACAAATGGGTTGGGTCCGTCTAGGACAGATGTACCCCAAAAATAAAAGACCATCCTGATGCATCCTATGTGCTACATATTGCATTTCTTTAAGGGTAAAATGGTCATTTGGCGGACCAATGATGGTTGAGGGTAAATGAGAAAGAAAAGAGGGTGAAGTGTGAAAATAAAGCAAGTAGGGCCCATTTATGTTTTTCTTTCACATTTTCTTTAAGAAAAAGACAAAAAAATTGAAAAATCCAAAAAGATTATGCACTTCCCCATTATTTTTTAAAAAAAAAGACAAAAAAAATATTTTCTCTAAATTAGTTATTGTTTTAATTTTCGTCCGTATCCAATCTGCCCGAACTACGCATACCTGATTCTCATCTTTCAGGGCGGGATACATAGGCAACCTACATAGGGTCCAGTCTTCTTAGTGAGTCTTAGGTTCTTGGCTTCGAGGGTCGTAGCCAAATCTTGCATCTCTAGCCACTTTTGGCCATATCGGTCGTTTTGCAAAATATGGCTATTTTTGCAAAGTGGTTTGTTTAATTGTCTGAAGAGTCTTGAATCCGCAATTAGGTGCCTCTTTACTTTAAGGCCCATCCTTGTCGAATTTACATGTCTAGCCGCTTTTGGCCACATCGGTCGTTCTTGCAAAATTGGGTCATTTTCATAAAAAGTGGTTCAGTGACCCATGACTTAAAGTTCTAAGTCCACAACAAGATGTTCTCTCTGTTTAAGGTCAATTGTGTTGAATTAGCCATTTTTTCGTCCACATTGACCACTTCTATAAAATGAGTCATTTCTACAAAAGTAATTTTTCCATGTCTTAGAGGTCACCTTTGTCGAGTTTGCACTTCTAGCCACCTTTTGGCCACATAAGCCGCTATGCAAAAATATCCTCAATCATGTCTTGCACGTGTCCAATAGGGAGTGTTATTGTCTCACATAGTGTTCTAAATCTTTAACTCTATTTGGTTTTAGTTTTCTTATACAGGTATGGATCTACTTACCGGAGTTTGACCATGACAGACACACTAGGACCATCCAGTCAGGATCACTACATTCAGAAGCTGGATAAAGGAGTTTTTTATGTTTTGATTCTATTTTTTTATGTTGTTTTGTACTTTATAGTCATGTTCAGTAGTATTGATTTTGTTAGTTGGTGTCAAAGTTTGTCGTAGTATAGTTGAGTTTGTCAAGTTTCCCGTTATCGTATTTCCTGTTTTATATTTGAAAATCGAAAAAGAGTTGTAAATGAAAAATCCAATTTTTTTTGTTTCTTACTTTATTTTTTCCATTACTTTTCCCGAACTACGTAAAGATTTGATTCATGAGGCGTCATGATACGTAGGCAACCTACATAGGGTTCGATCGAATCATTTTTAAAATTTAAAAAAAAACAAAACAAAATAAAAAAAAGAGAAAAAAAGAGAATGAAATTATGGGATATGAGAAATGAGAGAAAAGAAAAGGGTGATAATTAGAAAAAAAGAGAAAGGAAAATGAGCAAGCCAAGAAGTGCTAGAAAAGAAAAGATTGAAACGAACAAATTGGGATTGCGTCAAGTGACCTTGTGACCCTCGAAGTCATTCTAGAATCGTTAATTGTTGCTAGGTGCATTGCACGCAATGTGATATTTTTAGCTGTTAAATGCTCTAATGCTAACAGGATGACCCCATTTTTTTCCTTTTGTTATCTTCATTGAGGAGAAGGGTGGTTGGTTTGTGGTTCTTAAGTAACTCATCCATACAACACAAGGTCAAAGGGCAAGGTATCCATGCTAGCAAAGACTTGGACACGGGTGCTATTGATCCGTCTAAGGAGATTGTTGAGTCAGAATCTAAGTTGAAAGAAGAGGTCTTAAGATTGAAAGTACAGATGGTCGAAATATACCAAGCCTAGATTAGTGGGCGTCCTCCACCATTATTTCCCACTAACTACCCTGAAAGCCTTGTCACCATTCCGCCACTATCACAAATCTAGATTCCCACTACTGCTGATATCTCCCCACCACCTTTTCACACTCCACCCGGCAAAACCACCTCATATCCCGCTCCTTTGATCACTTATGTTTTTGTAGCTCATCCACCAGCTACCTTTCATCGATCCTCTAGCGAGACTATGTTCAAAATCCCCGATGCCTAACACTAGTCTCCAGAACCAACTTTCAAGGTCTTGGATCCATACTCTCACGCTCTTCATTTTGAGCCTCCTGGTGAAACTGAAAAACCTGCTAAGACAGTGGAGCAAGATGAGATATCCAGGAAGGTAAAAATCTTAAAGCAGTCTTTAAGAAACATGCAAGGGATAGAGAGCCAGGTGAGCATGCCTTACAAAGACTTGTGCTTGTTTCCTAACATCCAACTGCATGCTGAGTTTAAGATGCCAAAGTTTGATTCGTATGATAAGCATGGAAATCCAGTAGCCCATCTAAGGGGTTATTACAGTGAAATGAGAAGTGTTTGCGGGAAAGATGAATTGTTGATGGCATATTTCAGTGAGAGTTTGAGTGGGGAAGCCTTGGAGTGGTATACTCGTCAAGATGTCAGTAAATGAAGTGCATGGGTTGACATGGCTCAAGATTTTGTTCGGCACTATCAGTACAATGTAGACATTATCCCAGACCACTCTTCCCTATCTCATATGGAAAAGAAACCCGAGTGAAGTTTTAGAGAGTTTTGGATCAGATGGAACGAACAAGTTACTAGGGTCAGTTCTCCGATTGATAGAAAAGATATTGCTGAGTCCCACCAACGACAGGATCCAGTGGGCATTCCTGCTAAATGCTTTCAGCCTCAATATCAACCCCATGACTATCCTCATACTTCAAATAATCCTTCTCAGTGCTTCTTTACTCCACAAAATCCCCAAGGTCATACCTCACCTTCCTAGTACTCTATCCACAATGCACTGCCATATGCTCCACACCCACGAGACCCGCAATGGCCTGCACCACCTCCACAAATATCTTACCCGCGTCCTCAAGCATGTCAACCACCTACCCGTAAGAGGTTCCAACCGAGACTGGAGTACAAAATGAAAAGGCAACAACAAAGAGAAAAGTCTTGCACTCATATTGGAGATTCATATGCTAGTTTGTTCCAAAGGTTGAGGCAATTGGACATGTTGAAGCCGATTCAGATAAAAAGGCTGAACCACATTCCAAAGAATTTTGATTTTTCTCAAAGGTGATCATATTGCTCTAATGCCCCGAGGCACATTATAGAAAAGTGTTGGCATCTGAAAAGAGCAATCCAAAAGCTTATTGATGTAGGTGACATTACCATGCAAAATCCAAATGCGGCAGATACTAGCCAAAGTCCATTGCATGTTCATAATGAGACGCATATGGTGGGCATGATTTGTGTTGAAAATGAATATGAGAACTCTTCTGAACTTCTTGGAGGGCCACTTGTCACAAAGTTTTCAGCGTTATCAGCTCAGTTCCAAAAGTTGATCTTAAGAACGAGTTGGCAAAAGGGACCCAGAAGCTATTTGCTGAGGTCAATATGATTGAAATTGGTAATATTGATATGGAACTCAATGGCTAAGATGTCAAGCTTGGTAATTGGAAAGACGCTCCCTTCTTGGTTACCCGGGGAGGAGTCTTGGTGGTCTATTTTGTTGTCATTTCTGTTGTCTGGGTTATTTCAGGGTTATAATCCAGATATTGTCTTGTTACTCAAACCCTTCTATCCTTTTATTTTGCCTAGTTCATTTAGTCATAGTACCCTTTTTAGTGTTATTTAGGTTTTTCCAGGGTCGTAACCCTAGTGTGTTTTGTTTGTTTTGTTGTTCAAATCCTTTCACCGTCTGTCTAATGCAATTTTTTATTTTCTGTTATTTCTAGTCATTTTTGTTTAGTTCTATTTTCCTTTTATAGTTCTTTTCTTGCTGACTCTAGTGACATGGCATGTACGCATAATTCGTAGCCTGGTCTTAAAAGTTAGTCTAATCATGAAGTAATGAAACAAGTTTTGAAGATGAACACTTGAGGGAGATAAGTACAGATTTGGACATTTTGAGATCATTTGAAGCCCGAACTGTGTGAAATTGAGGCAGATAATTTGGGAAGTTAATAGGATGACAAGAATTCATTAAAGGAGAGTGCATCCCAAACAATTTAAAGCATGCAGTTTTGAATTCAAGTGCACCTCAATTTACAAGATAAAGTCAAGAGAGTTTGTTCCGAACAGACGGAGGGTATCCATTGTGAAGAAGAAATCACCCAACGAGAGTTTTGTATTTGACAAGACACTAAAAAAAGTGGAAGGCATATTAGTGATATCAATGTTGAAGCTGCAAAAGAAATGTTGTGCATGATCTTCCTTTTTCATTCTCAAGTTGCATGTGTTGTACTTGGCATTTTCAGGGATTGGGAGACCCTCTTTCAGCTACCCAAAAACTTTATACCCTTCGGTACCCTTTTGAACCTGCTCTGATTTCTTTGACCTCCCCTCTTTTGGAATCAAGTTAGAGTCATACAAAAAAAAAAGAGTTCATGTCCTCATAGGTTTGTTTTAGAAAGTTCATTCCAAAGGGAAAATTCAAAAAAAAAGAAAAAGAAAAAGATATAAAAAAAGGGAAAAAGAAAAAGAAAAAAAAGAGAAAAATAGTAACAAAAGTATCTTTGTGAACTACGTTCAACCTGATTCTTTTCACCATGAGATACGTAGGCAGCCTTATGGTTCGGTCGCACCAAATAAAATATTTCATAATCCCACGAAGTCGAGAGTGGGGAAGTCTTTTTTAGAAATTCCATTTCAAAAAGAAAATCAGAAAAAAGAGAATCAAATTCCATTGTTTTAGGAATTGGGGAAAAATTTTTAGAATGGATTCCAAAAGTTGTAAATAAATTAACCCTGTTGTCTTAGTTATTTTGAGCCTTTATGATATTCTTTCTTTCTAACCTTGTCCAAAAGCCATATTATAGTCCAAAAAGACCTCTTAGATAATCTTTGAGAGTGCCGATTCAGACATGCCGAGAGCATATGATATTTCTATCGTGGTTAATGCCTTGTTATATGTAGAATCAGAGGAAAAAAAAGAAGAAAAGAAAAAATGAGAGTCTTATCGGTGAAAACCTTCACAGTCACCATAAGGCAATAGTAAGTTGAGAGAAAGAACAAAATGAGAGAGGCTTGATGGTGAAAACCCTTCGGGCACTACAAGTCGAATAAGGACCATGAATTAGATAGGATAATCGGAGCATTGAAGCACAGTTTCACGGCGAAGAGGCACAACAAAAGTTGAACATTAGACTTGCTTGACAGATTAGGCTACTTAATCCAAAAGTGGATGTCATGGTCATTAGAGTTAGTATCCATATCTCATAAGTTTCTACTTTGTAATTTTCTTGTTAGGTATCATCTCTTTCCATTATCCCTTACTATGTTCCTTTTGTTTTGTTTACTTCTTCTTCCTGAGTCTGTTTGGTCAGAACAAGTGAGAAATGACTTCAAAATTTGCTACTAGCTTTCCAATTGCACAAAAAAGAGTCTGGCTAGTACATCAAAGTGGCTTAAGTTAGGAAAGAACAGTATGTGCACTGAGTGGTTGGCAATTGACGTGTTTTGGGATTCATGTGAAATACAAAGGTTCGGTATATTTCAATTCGTGAGCACAATGCAACAGATAAAGGGCTTGGGTTGAACGAATCAGAGGTATTTTCTGTGATAAGGGTGACAGAGAAAGTGGTTAGTCAATAAACAAGCAAGGTATTTCAAGTTGATATCAAAGTTATCATGGCAAGTGAAGAGCAATCGCCCTCAAAGTCAAGGCCACAAACCAACCACCATGTTTAAACTCACAAGCTTTCTTTGTTCGAAACACGGACAAAGACTATGTCCAAATCAAAGCTTGGAAGCTTGGATTTTTCAAGTGCAGTGCCCAAATCTGGTTAGCATAAAGGTTGTTTGAGAAGGTTTTACTTGCTAGGCGTTCCCCTAGTTGAGATGACCATTACCTCCTAGGCATTCTCCCTAGTTAGAAGAGTTCTTAGTTTTCCTTAAGTTCAGGGCTCCTGCCTGGAGAATAGGGCCAGTTTTAATTTTCTTAAGTTGATAGTCTTTAGTTTCCTTAAGCTCAGGGGTCCCGCCTGGAGAATAGGGTCAGTTTTTTAGTTTTAGTTTCCTTAAATTATTGATCTTTAGCATTCTTTAAGTTCAGGGGTCCCGCCTGGAGAATAGGGTCATTTTTAATTTTCTTAAGTGGTTAGTCTTTAGTTTTCCTTGAGTTCAAGGATCCCTCCTGGAGAATAGGGTCAGTTTTTTAGTTTTAGTTT